CAATTGGTGATATCCAATGTAGGCCTTTAATAATATCGCACAATGGCAACGTTTCATTGAATTTATGGAGATATTATACAAAATCTTAATCATTATGATTCGCCACAAGTGACGAAAAGGGATCTAGGGACGCATCCCACTCCAAGAAAAAGGTTTCACTCCCATCAACCACACACACTGAAAGCCTGTTCAACACAAAATTACACCTCAGAGGTAAGATTACCTCTCATCAAATCATTATATCTTACTTAGCCGTTCCCTCCCTTACTTACATCAATCAGTCCGGTCCCCCTCTCGCTAAATTATACTCCTCCCTCTTTATGTGATAATTGACTCGTTAAGAGTGAATTTCATTCGTTGAGGAGTGAATTTTTGAGGGACCACTTCCAACGATTGAAACAGCAATGGCGTATCTGGAGACTAATAAGGGAGCTGATGGTGGTACGGTGGCAGTGGTGGTGGTGGTGGGTAAGTGGGGGGTGGGGGTATGGCATTGGTGAATAAGTGAGGGGAAGCAAAATAAGGAGATATGAGTTGATTGTTACTTGAGCGTACTGACTGATTGTCACCAAACAGACTAGCTATTACACAATAATTATGATCAAAAATTAACGTGAATGTTGTATGTGCAGCTTCATCATTAGCATTTCAACAACATTTTATGCTAACGATTAGATAAGTTCTCTGCTCCATAATTCCAATTCCTTCGGGGTGAAATTATGGCAACTCATGGTGTTTTATCGGGACTTTCCCAAGAAAGCACATCAGGATGCCTACAAGATTGTACACAGCTCGTCGAATTAAGTTTCCGTAAGTCTATAATTAATGTGCTTGTACGTCCGTACCGCTAATGACTTGTTTTCCAAGTCCCTATGCATCACTGCCGAACAATATATTTTAAAGATGGAAAAACTTTTTTTCCAATTATTATAACTTGGAAGTGAGCCAGTCAATGTACATGGATTATTTCTGATTTTACTTTTCTGACTTTCCATGTTACAGTGTGGGTGTGTTTGCTCTTAAGTAAGGCCCCCACATAGGCCCACTTACTTGACTTATCCTCGATAAATTCGTTTTAATAGATCTTATTCATTAAATGGAACTTATAATCCCTTTAATTAAAGAGGTATTGTCCTATGCAAAACACACACCAAAAAAAAAAAATAAATAAAATAAAATAAAATAATCAGTTTTGAAATTAACTTGTTCAATTTGAAGTTACATAAAAAATTATCAACTTGAATATAGAAATTAGTGTATAGCAAATATGATAAAAACACTTCCAGTCATTGGAACATTACCTAGAATAACAATATCAGGGCACAAATTCTATTCTTAGGCATGGAGGTTTACCGGTGTACCGCCATGTCTTAAAGTAAATAATTTTTTTTCTGCAAATTGAGCAAGTTAATATTATTTTTTTCTTTTTTTCATTTTCAGGGGACAATACAAAGACTCGGAGTTTTGAGGGGTTTCTTTTGTAATTATATTATGATAGAGAAGTAATTTTAATTTTAGTGTTTCAGCAAATAATTATCAGCCAGAAAATTAAAAATAGGCCCGTACGAACGCGTTAATTAGGCGTGAATCTTATCTTTTGTGATGATAATCCACCATTTTGGATACGATGGAGCTATTTATGGTAACGGTACTACTTCAGTAATGAAGTGGAACAGCTTCAGTAAACATTATGTCATCGATAAACAACCCAAATGGCTATGACGTAAGCACATCCCATAACTATAGAATTTGTCCATAAGCCAGGACTGTTGGGCACACCATTTGGTGACGTGACGCCACTAAGTAGGCCTATCGATAATGCTAAGTAGGTACTGTATGTATATACAAAATTAAAATAATGATATACAAATACATACGATTCTATTTAGCAAACTCGTTTCGCGTATCTTTTTTTCAGTACCCTACATGAACTATTTCGTTTCTGTGGCCTGTGAACTTAATCCTTTTCTTGTCACTGTTGTCGTCGTTTTAGTATTTTACTCTTAATATTATAATTATAGCTAATTTGTCAAAGAAATTTGCATCCATAAAATATCAATTCTAACAACAATTGACATTCAGATTTACACTGTTTTAGAAAAATCCCTTTTCGCATACGCAGTCTACTAACACCAACTTAAATACTTTTATCACAATGGAGGTCTAAAATACTTTACAATCAGTACTATCGTACATATTTTTAGCCAATGTAATGTAATGTTTTGCATTTAATCAATCAAAGTTTCGAAACATGTTTATATTTTACTTGTGTTTTGACCAATCGTCAACAGTTCAAACATAATTTAAAAATAAAATAATTTCACTAAATTATAAAGAACACATGTCATATTCCTAAGTGTTTCTATGTAGGACCATATTCATCACATACCTTGATATTTATCGGCTTGTGTGTATCTTGAAGCAGGTGGAAAAGCCTGAAGGGGATATGAACACCTAGAGTGCCTGCAGACGTCACCAACAAGGTGCACAAAATCAAGGCTAGCTAGAACCCGAGAGACATTGAATCGATATTTTGGTCGCAAGGTTAGAATGGTCACGGAAATTAACGACTGGCTAATGATAATTCTGCATACCTTTTAAGAACAGATCGAAATGCTCAGCATTTGATTGTGATTTATTATTACATTTGAAATGAAAAAAAAAAATGCATATCTGGGTTATGGAATCAATAGTAACTAAATCATCATGAGTCATCATCATCATCATCGTTATCAAGGACTTACAAAACAGTTGTTCTTGTTATTATTACCATTTAATATTA